CCCCCCCCGCTGCCCGCCCGCCTGCCTCGTGGCTTGGCAGAGCTGGTGATGGTGGTAGATGCCCCCCACTTCCAATCCCAGTTCAGCCTGGCAGCTGCTGCTGCTCTCGCAGACGGTGCCGGGGTTACACAAAGTCACTCCTCCTGCGACTGTCTGAGGCCGTTTGGGGACGATGAGGAGGTGCCAAGGCGACTCGATATTAGGAATATATCCTGTTAATAATAACCCCAAAATGTAGCACACAAACTTCATTTTGGAAACAAGCTATCATGAGAGCCAATACATTATATAATGTTTTTTTATATCATGTGTAGGTGTCTAGCTACCCTGATGCACATAACAAAAATCCCTGGATTTTTGTTATGCATGTTTGTATATGCATGTTGTGCATATGCCCAACCATAGCCCCCAACCCAAAAAAGCGCTTTGTAATGTGGTCAGCCAGTATGACTGTCCTTTTTGAACTGGAATGAGAGAAGCACACTTTGAGTAGCTAACCGACGAGACGCCCATTATCATTGAACCTGCTCGTGTGTGTGTGTGTGTGTGTGTGTGTGTGTGTGTGTGTGTGTGTGTGTGTGTGTGTGTGTGTGTGTGTTTTATGAATGGCAAGCCTGTTCTATAAGGCTGTTCTGTTTGATCGTGTTTCCGCATTTTTTTTTTTTTAGCAGCTAACCAAATAGCCCCCCTATCAGACGTGCTCTGAAACTGTCAGCATCCTCGAAACCTCTGATCATTGAATCGCCCCTGGTTTCCACCTTTTTGTGCTTTCCTGACAACATGGATGTCACATGAAAATATCCCATGTTGTGAAATCCTAATTTTCCTTTAGTGAGTATGTTAACACCTCAGCTCGATGTTGTCTTTGGGAGGCACACTGCTTAGTCGCTTGGAGGGCATCTAAGCAGCGCATCGCCCCGTTTCGCCCCGGAGCGGTGCAAAGCTCCTGCCCAATAAAACAGGCAGCATCCCCAGGGCCCCTCCCTCAAGCCTCCAGTCAGCGCTTGTTTTTGCACCATTTATTTAGTGTGACACATCTCCAATTAAACTGTGGAGGCTGCTGCATCTCCCCCCCCCCACCCATAACTACCTCTTATACCTCCCCAAAGGCTTTCTGTCACACAGAGAACGTGGCTATGAGGGGAGGCTAATGGAGGGGAAGGCACCTAGTGGGGGGGGGGGGTTGAGGAAAAAGTGGGAGAAGGAGTGAAAGAGAGATCACGTCTTGCCTGCCAGCTATGATCACAGTGTCATTTTCCTCCCCGCGTTGGCCCGTAGCATCCACAGAAAAGGTGCGCAGAATTATAATCTTCAAAGATAATCAGACGTTCAAATGTTGCTAGATTGCTAGATACAAATCAGATCGATGGACTGATTCATATTTTATTTTGGGCCCACAGTTTTGTTTTTTTTTTTGTTTTAATGAACTATACTTACTGACGAAAGTAGGATTTTAAATTAGATTTTTATACTTGTTTTTATTGGCAAAGATGTTTTGATTATTTTTTAATACTATTCGTATTTCTTTATTTTGCAGGCTGAAGTGGAATGATGAAAGTGGATTAAAAAAGATGTAATTTTTTTTGTATATATATAGTGGGGGCCGATTTCATGTAAACATGGCCTTTTTTTCCAATTTATTTTGTCATGTTTTGATGAATGACTTAATTGGCAGAATGTTTGGTGAAAAAACTCAATGAGCTGCAATTTTTAATTGAGGTCCAAATTTGAATTTCTGTTTTGGTGTGCTCACATTGAAACCTTCCGTTTTATTCTGTCATCATTGGAAATAGGCATTGCCTCATTTTACTGCATTTGTTTATGAAAGGCCCTGAAGTGATATTCGGAGTGGTTCCCATACAACCTGAAAATCAGAATCTGTGTGTGTGTGTGTGTGTGTGTGTGTGTGTGTGTGTGTGTGTGTGTGTGTGTACACGTGCACACCTTTGATTTCCGGAGATCCCTGCATACGTTTTGATTTACTGCTACAGTGTGCCACAGTAATTGGATGTGACACCATTTTCTGCGCTGCCCCATGGGGCTAGAACAGGAATCTGACTATTATGGCCCCAGTCATGAATATGTCACCGCCGTAGCAAACAAAAGGCCTGTGATTTTGGGATAAGACTCTTACTTCCTGAAGCTGGCGCTAATAGCAATGCCGCAAGGGTAAATAGCTTGTCTGTGCTGCAAATCGCCAAATGTATACACAGAATGATTAATTGGCATTGTCGTGTGATTACCACGTTTGTTCTCGTGGGTCAAAATGTGTCATTTTATATTATCATTACTATGTTATTTCCCTTTTCATTCTTTTGAGCTTTACAATTCACACACAGGGAACCCGTATTAGGTGACTGAAAGGAGAAATGCCCCCCCCACACCCCTTTCCGCCGCCTCCTACAAGGGAAAACATTTCACATGTTCTTTTTTTTAATTTTTTTTTTATTTTAAGGCTCTGAGAGAGCATCGTGTAGGCTTCGCACACACAACTTTAGGATGGATTCCAATTTCTGTTTTTGAATGGGGCCTACTACGAATGATGTGTGTCTGACAACAACAAAAAGATTTCTTCGAGC